CATTACGCCACTCACCAGTTCATAAGTTCCACTCTTTCACTCGACAGGTTTCAGTGAGTTGGGCCTCTCTAGCGAACATATATTGGCTTATAACAAAATGTATGCTGTTGCGACTCATATTTTAAAACATTATATCGTCTTTTTACTTGTCAAGTTTCACTCCTGTGGCTCTGCAGTTACTTCCTTGCTCTACAGTGTCACCCAGCGTCTGACCTCCGTATGCAGTCTCGTCCGCCCTCTGATTGGCTGAGACACCGCTGCAGTATTAACCCTTTCAGAATCAAGATCAGGTTTATTGCCAAGACAGTTTTCACGTAAGGCTACAAGGAATTTGCCTGTTTTCATGCAAGAGGGAAAAATCAAATACTGCAAAGTCAAGAACAAAATATATAAAATAGAAAAATGTACAATACAAATATGAGAAAATGGAAATAGGATGTCTATTTTTTGTTTTAAAATGAAGACCTGTGCAGTTTTCTCTATACAGTGTTTTTTCCTTTGTGGTCTGGATAATGAAAGTATTTAAAAGTACAGTAAAATATTACTTAAAAAAGGCTAAGTGATTGCTGCTTTTCCAGTAGGGGTGGGCGATATGGCCCTAATATAACATGTAACCTGTGACAGGCTGTTATGCTACCATAACTTTTGCACATTCACATATATGCAGTTTTCTGCTGACGACACCACTTGACGGAGCCGCTGAATGAGTTCCTTTTGAGTGGTAATGCACTAAAAGAGTCTGAGAAGTCCAGGGCTGTTCATAATAAAACATTCAGGATGCCACAGTTTATTCCACACTACTGACGCTGCCCCTCTTTTTGGAGCCACCAGTCGGGAATAATTTTGCCTTCAGCCATGCTTGTTGTTGCCGTGGGTAACAGTTTGACGTCAATATGTCAACAGGTCGAAATATCGCGAGCATCGCTATATGAATTTTTCACATGATATTATCGTAAGTGGGATGATATGGCACGCCCCTAGTTTCCAGTTAAAGTGGATATGCAAGAAGGCCAAACATAACAAGCAGACTTGAATCCTGAACAAACTTTATATTAAAAAGATATACATGAGCACTTGGTGTTGATGCACATGTTGATGATATCAGTTAATGATCTGTAGGATGTGTGACATCATCAGCCTAATTAATGCATCTGATTAGTCAGCTGGCTCACCTGGTATCAATTAGCTGTTGTTTCCTCACACCTTTACCTGCTCCAGATCATAGCTTGAAACTGCGACAGTGTCTCGATTCGAATACTTGAATCAGATGTATTCTGTGAATGATGTGGCTTCTCTAATGTTCAAGCTACACGTTGGTTGAGGGCTGGTTGCGTCAGTGTGGGGGATTTGTGTTCAATCTCAGGCTGCCATACTTGATGAGGCTAAAGTAAAACAAACCTCAGATTGACAGGGTGACATGTTTTGTGAACGTAGGCCCACAGCTAACCATACCTCCCAGAATAATTGCTCCAAATATTCCCCAGTGCTCTGCTGCTGTTTCCTGCCTGTAGAGTCTCACAGTATAACAGTAGACATAGAACATAGAGTGTGTGTATTTCCACATGGACAATCTGACTATACAACTGGTGCGTGGTGCAATAGGTTGATTTCAATGGAAATTGAATTTACAAACAACACTTTTCATTCTAAGCACACAGTTTATGACGACAATTGATAAATACTGGCATTGAAGGAGCTATGTCTATATCTTTAAGTTACTGAGATGTCTGACCAAGAAGTGACCTGACCGACGTGCTTGCTTGGATTTGATTCCGTCAACTACCTTCTGTTGTGTGTTGCGCTCAGTAAAGGAACTGGGCTTTGATTGCATATATAAACAATCCTGCTTATTCATTACATCATGCTTGAAGGGGATTAAAGTCCATTTTCTTTGTTTCCATCAAAAAGCCAAACACACACCTTATAGTGTGACAAACAATTAAGTAGCGCTACAGCAGTCAAGAACCCTTCACCCTTCTGGGTCAAAAACCTGACCACAACAGTGACCTTCCTGCCTTTATATCTGACCCCAAGATACAAGCACAGCAACACCCAGTGTACACACATGGTAAATAGCAATCCATGTCTGGTTATTTAAAGAATACATTTGGGTCTTAGAGGCATTGAAAGCAACATTAAACCCAGAGCACAATTTTTCTTCAGTGGTCAGATGTTACCATTTGCTCCCATCAGCCCTTGCTGTTTACAAATGACATGTCCTGTTGATACTCTGACAAGCAGGAAAGAAAATGTCCAACATTGTCTGGCTTAAGAAAAGGCGCTCATGGTTCACTTAAATGCAACTATCCCCCAAGTAGATAAAACTATTTCAGCTCTTCAACAAAGACCCCCGAAACTGCTTTGCCATGATACTATTTAAATGACAGTCCAACAACAGAAACCTTTAAGCAATCATTGAGGCCCTCACTTTGGAAGTTTCCCTTGATGCCAGTGACATCTCTGTTCTAACTCTACACTCTCTTCCAGGAAGCCTTTAGGTCTGCACGTGATTGTGTATTTCCTTGTTTAAATAAATACTTGAGTTAATGAGCTTGTACAAGAGCAAAGCGCAGTGGACTCATTTGGCTCCAATCAATATATGGCCCCTGTGACAGTAATGTCGCTCACTGGCTGGTACAGTCAGGGAGAGACCAACTGGAGCTTGGACACTGTGTGTTTTTACTGCACCACACATAAACAATGCGAGTCTACAGGGGTTTCCTACCCTAGGCCCCATTTCTATTCATCACTTCGTCTCATACGTGCTCATGTTCCGAACGTGATGTTTTACAAAAAGGATGCTTTTCATGTGAGTTTGGCTCTTTGAAAAACATTCCAGAGTTGGCAAAGAAATGACATCATTAAGAGCGAAAACCTTTAGGCTCATGACATTATTCTAAAGATAAGTCAGTTTTATTTATTTATTTATTTATTTATTTATTTTATATTGCCTTAACAGACTATGATTTATACAAGAACCTTAATTCAGATAAGAAAAACTTGCATCATACTTGCTTCATCTGATACTGATTCAGTTTAAAGCTAAATATATTAAAACTCAATTTTATACATTTGCTTTACTACTCAGCCTGTGACACTAGTTGAATAACATCTAGGCTGGAGAAGCTTTCCAAAGTTTGGGAAAATAATGATGTGAGAAGACTGGCTTCTGGTGTGCATTGCACTACTGGAACTGCAAAATAAACTGAAGTTAGAGACATATATCCTTCTGAGGGACTTTTAAGTTTACTTAATGTCTCTCTTGTGAAAGACATCTTGATCTCAATGAGGATTTCTAAATAAATATAGCGGGAGTGTTGTGTTAGATCATGGTTTATGTACAGATACCTGCAAATAAAGATGGGAGTGGACAATACCATCCAGAAATGAGAACAAGCAACTGTATACTGTACCTAGATATTTGTGGATCCACACATATGTCACTATCCTGTGATAACTGTGAATCTGCAAAATGTTAAAGAGACAGTGTGTAAGATTCAGGGGGATTTAGTGGCATCTAGTGGTGAAGATAGCAGATTGCAACCAGCTGAAACTTCTCCAGGTTATGGAGAAATTTCAGCTGGTTGAAGCTGGTTATGGTGGCCAATGTGAAAATGCAAAAATGTTGATGGCCTCATCTAGAGACAGTATTTGGTTTGTCCATTCTAGGCTACTGTAGAAACATGGCAGTGCAACATGGTGATCTCCATAGATGAGGACCTGATCTGTATATAGATAATAATGTCTCATTCTAAGGTAACGAAAACATATCTCTGTTATTTTCAGGCAACTATACACCAAAGACAACATACTTATTATATTATATTCAATTTCTGTCAATATATCCCCCTAAATCCTACACTGAACATTTAATTTTATTTAGGTTTGCGACAAAATATTTTCATACAGCTTTTCATATATTTTTTTGATTGGAGTGATTTCCTCTGCTGAACATGGTCTGTCATGTGACTTAACCTGTCTACACTAATTATATGATGCCTTACAACATACTGATCATGTGACCACTTGCCAGCATGTATAGGGACAGCGTAAAGTTGACCGTTTTGTACTTGCCCTGATGAAGGCCTTATAATAGCTACAACAGATATACATTACATGGACATGGTTTTAACTATTATAACTAAATAGCCACGAGTCATTGAAGGCCTTTTAAGTAATGACCTTCTTGAGTGCCACATATAGGCTATCCAGATTATCTAAATATATAACGACCAGATTTTCACTAGGCAGTAACAGTATGATATCCTTTTTTCTCCTAACTGCAGAGATTTCCATGAATAACAGAAGAGTTCCTGATGATGATGATTACTTCTTGTCTCATGGTGGTAGGTGGGACATGATTCCTGGTTTTGGTTGGGTAATCCCTTTACATCGCCTTTCAGAGGAGCCACTGTACATCGCAGAGACCAGACTCTGGGTTCTGCAATGTGCAGCACTGCCTGCTGGTCAAAGGTGGGAACTGCGCTCCAGTGAATCAATGAAATGACTGAAATTCCATAACATCCAAGCCCCGGTCTACACGTGCCTACAGTATGTGCGCTCCTGACGCAGATGACTGTCTGGATTGCTATTCTGCTTCCAGCTGTTCTCTCAGTGAGAAACTTCTCCTAGCATGAATATTTCTGATCATATTCATCATTTTTTATTGTCAGGCAATTTACACTGGCTCAATGTAAAGCCCAGTGCTAAACTCCGAGCATGTGCCAGTTTTCACACTATGTATATGGGTAATTAAAGACAAAACATGGAGGTTTAACAGCCTCTCAGGAACATGCTATAATCCTGCTCTGAGCTCAGGTTTGAATGGACAGCCTCCCTCTCTCTCTCTCTTTCTCTCCATGCTGTCGCTACCTCAGGAGTTTGAATGAGTGGGTCTCTCTCTCTCTCTTCGCTCCTCCTTATACCCCCCAAACCATCCCCTCTTATTAAAACAACACGCCAATCTGTTGTAGCCTGGTAAAAGGGGTTTGGGAGCCGAAGCAGCCATAAAGGAGGCTCCACACACACACACACACAGTCGTCTGGAAGGAATTAGACATCAGCGGCAGAGAGACTTTTGGCCACTTCTCTGCGCTCTGTGTAACCTGGATGCTTGGGGAAACTATAGAAATACTTACACACCCCTTTAAGACAGCAAATACAAATGATTTGATTCATACCTGATTATTAGAGTCATAGCTGGAGGCTATTTTTTTAAAAACTGAGTGTCATTGACGGTGCCAGGGTTGATGGCGTTTTTGTAACTTTTACAAACTTTTGAGAAATGAATGAAACTGTCAGAAGTTGATGGAGAAAAATATTTATCATTTTTGCATAGTCTACTCTTTATTTATACTTTTTTACATGAATGATGCCAAAGTTGACTGACATGATGTTTGTGTTTGTACACCTAAGAAGCATGCGGTGTGTAGTTATTGACTGCAGACAGACTGTTAGAAACTAGAGAAGACAAGCAGTCGTGATTTTTTTTTTTTTTTGTTTGAGCATCCAGCTGAGCAAACTTAAGAGGAACGTGCGTCTTATGTTTTTTCCTTCTCATTAATGAGGATCAGTGTCAGCGGATTCATGAGACTCATTACTAAACGAGTTTCCTTTGAAACTTTGTCGAGACTTTTTCTCCCTGTGGAGCGGTACCAGAGCCGCCGGAGCTGACCGCATCCTTCCTCAAGGGCGAACGAGAGGACGACAGCTGCTTCAAGGTAGGCGGTCAGTGATCATTTGGTCTGGTGAGTCTGCAGCTTGCTGACAGACAGTGATAAATGTTCCATCAGGAACCAGTCAGAAATAACTGTATTGTATTTATTTCTGGACATATTGACGCTCCACACTTTAGAACATGTTTAGAATATATATGAGGTTTTTGTCATAATTATAGATGGTAAGGATGTTGTCCAATATTTAAGCTCAATAAAGGGCGTGATGCTTGAAGTTGGGGGACATGCCAGCTGTCACAAAAGTAGTGCTTTTTTTTCTTATGCGCCTTTATGGGTCATGCGTAAAACGCGAATAGCATCTCTTACAGGTGTTAAGCTGAAAAGCAATTTCGTCTCTTTCTGCCATATATGTTAACTGCTGTATTAAAATCTTACTGTAAAATGAAGAAAATATGTGTCTCAAAAGTTTAATATGCCCTAACTGGCAGAGACAAATGCATTCCTCCTCGCCCGGCAGTGCCAGCTGTGGAAATGTGTCACACTTGTCCGCCCAGATTAGACTTCTAATCATACAAAACCTCACCAGGTCTTTGCTGAGCCAGTCATCACCGTCAACCTGAGAAAAAACTAAATTGATGACGTCACATTTACACGTCATTCTTTGAGGTTTGCGAGCCAATGGGAAGGCTGGATTTGGACACGTTCGGCGTGCCTCGTGGTCGGAGCGCGTAATTTGATACCAAATGTGAAAGACAGCTTTTTGCGCACACATGAAAAGTGAATGGCCTTCGCGTTTTAGATAATAGTTTAATAATTGTTCATATTAATGTGCTCTGAGTGGCTGGGTAGGGGTAGGGGAATCACAAAAGTATAGATGCATGCAAACATCATGGGAAGCTTATGCAGGTGCCGCCTTAACACAGTGTAATTTGGACAAAATGTTTGCACATTTCTCGCCTAACTGCTGGCATTACAACTTCCCCAAACACCCACAACGTGCATTATGCACATATAAATGAATGCAAATGAACATCTGTCTCACCCCTTTGACATACTCTCCATCCACCTACCCTGATCTCTCTCTGTGTGCAGATACAACTAGTGGCTCATAAAAAACCCACACAAGGAATGCCCATCTGCAAGCTGGATGTCTAAACATTCCTTCATAGATCTATAATGCGCAGTACAGAGTTTCTATCCTACACACGGAATCCTCTTTCTACTGACCTGGCTAGGTTTTCCTTTCATAATGCATTTTAGTGCTCACACAGTGCACGTTGGAACCACCGTGACATCCACCTGTAGGGAGTGATGAAGCATTTAATCCACTGTCAGTACAAATATATCAGTGTGAGAGTTCTCCACCCTCTCTACTGTGTAGGAACTTAAACTTGCTGGCTTTTCCTATCTGAAACACTGATACAGTTTACCCACCACATGTTCTTCATATTAGCTGCTCTTCTGCAGTGCATTTTTAAAAGAATATGTACTACTGCACCACTGGAGAAACTTACAGTAGCTACTAATAAGCATTTACTTTGTTTAAAATGCATCAATATGTATGACATACATTGTATTTCAAAATAATAGTTTAAGAACAGGAGTTCTTTGTATAATCAGTGCCCTCTGTCAATGCACACATGTATCTGGAGTAATACCAACATACTGTCCCTAATCTGAGCCCTCGAGGGAGCTCCTCTGCTGAGCATTTGGCTCAGTGTGCCACTGTGAGGGGGGCAATTCATGTCTGGTGCCTGTTAGTGGAACATTAAGCACTCAAAGAGATTTAATACGTATGTGCAGCAATGTGGGTAGTCCACAAAGGTTGCCTACTATAGCTGCTGATGCCAGAACAGGAAGAAAAGCAGCTTTTTTGCACTCTTCAATAGGTGACTCAGTCTATAGACTCATCAGTGCTACAGGATGTTCTTCCACACAGCGTACAGAGCAGTTTACTACTTAACAGAGGAAGGCATTCCATGGCTGGTCTCCATTAGGGCTCACAACACGTCTCACGTGCCATTACTGCTCACAGCATGGGTCTGTCAGTGTATAGGGCCTTGGGGCCGGCATGGTATAACTACTGAAGTTAAGCATAGAGTGCATAGTGTATGTGCAGCCCCTCCCAACACACAACATCCACGGCCCCACAACCTACCTCATCTATTCTGCATTAATGCCACAGTTTTTTTCCAGCCTCCCTTGGTAAAGTAGCAATGAAGCAGCATTACAACCAGCCAGTAAAAGTGAAAATTTGGATGTCAGTGAGGTTCTGATTTAGATTCCCACTACCTCATACTGAGTCACAGGGTCTCACAGGGAAGGCTGATGCCAGTGTTAATGCATAGGTCCAGGAGTTACGGTACACCATAAAGTAACCCAGGAGCTGTATAAAGCAAGCTGTGTTTGCAGCACAGCATATATAGTTGGCTCCTGGACATTTTTATTTTGATCTTAGTGGCTATATTACTTATGGTACATCTTGTTGAAAAGATCAGACGACAAAAGTTCAGAAATTTAAAACTTCAATCACAGTCAAATCTTTTTCTTCCTTAATACCTCTGACTATTATTTCATTCAGCCATTCAGCCTGCCTCTGGGTTTCCGTCTCTTAAGTTATCTCCTAGCTGTGATAATAGAGTGCTTGAATAGAATTTTCTCCCATGTAGGGAGGAAGCCAGAAATTTTAGCACTGTTGATAACTGTCTGTTGTCAGATAAGAGAAAGTGTTGGATTAATGGATGACAGAGAATGGCTGGATTCAAAAAGAAAAAAAGAAAAGAAAAAAAAAACAATTTAAAACTTTTATGGCAGAAATGTTCTGGCCTTCAGAAGCAGGAGAAACCAAACAGGGGCTTTTGTGATATTTATTTTGAAAATTCCATATAAGAAAGAAACCAAACAAACAGCCTGACAGAGGAGCGACATTCTCGACTGAGTCGCATCTGTAATTTGGCTGAAAATCTTGGAGCTTGCCACGGTGGCAGGAGTCCAATGCCTCAGCTGGCAGTGGACTGAGCCAAGTCCACCACCGTGCCTCGCAGTCTCCCCCCTCCTTCTTTTGGTGTCTGCCATGCCGCTCTCTCTCTTACTAACTCACTTCATTACAACCTACTTTCCCCTCATACAGTTCTCCTCCATCCCTTTCTGCTGCTCTTCCCTTTTCCATCTTTCTCTCTGTAGTATGGCTGCATCACTTCCTCCTGCTCATTCACAAAAAAGAGAGAGAGCTAGGGATGAGTCAAAGGGAGGACAACATGCCAAAATACCAAACAGCATAGTTTGGCTTCAAAATTGAGAATGGATGTACCATAGTGTTTTATTAAATAATGAGTTGCAGCTTCACTGCCCACCTTTACTTTTACATCAAATAAAACTGAAATGATGCAACACCAACTGCTGTGGTAAAGGAACAAGATGTTTGAGTAACACAAAACAGTCTCCGTGGATGTTGTAACCTTTGTGTCTTTGCCAGCCTTATCACACCTGATTCTAATAGCACACAGAAGGTGAGGATATAAAGAGACAGAGGAGGAGATGGGGAATGTAAAAGTCAACTCCCATGTTACGTTGTAACGCTGTACCTTTGCCAGTTGTGGCCCTGTCCACCTGATTCCAATCATGTAAGGAGCAGTGTGGCGTAAGCGCAGTGGGTGGTGTTACAGTTTAGCTCTGGTTCTTATAAAGATAACGCTCCCGCAACAACAGTGCACTCTGACCACATGGGGGGTTTATGAGAAGGAGAAGGACGAGGAGGAGAAAGGGGAGGAGAAAGGGGAGGAGTGAGGAGGGTTAGTGACTTCCTAGCGGCGCCTTTGAAAACTCTCATGACCTTTTGGTTCAGTTGGAGTGTGCAGTTTCATTCATACTGGGCTAAAACAGTGAAGTACCTGTTTAACTGCAGCAATACAAGATGAGCAAAATTCAGATTTAGCTACACAGCTGTTTCTGATTTTACATCCATATTTTAAAAATACTCTATGTTTATAGCCTATTTCATATTTTTGCCATGTAATTCTGCATTCACATTATCTTTACAGACTCATCTGACTAAGATTTGATTGTTTAAAACAAATCTATCATGCATAAAGTTGACCCCGTTTTAGAAAGCAGCCCATGAAAGCAAGCCAGAAGTGTACAAGCTGGCCTTGAGTATGTCAAGTGCGTCTCGCCTATAAGTCGGCAGCCAACTCTGTCTTTTTCCCAGCCGCTCCCTCTCCTCTGCCTCATCATCTGCTTAGGAACATGTGAGCCTTTTCCTGCATCCTGCTAGAACTGTCACGAGGGCCATCTCCACATTTTAATGCCTTTAAAATGCTTCCTGGTCTTTTCCAGCCTTGCCCCTACACACACACACACACACACACACACACACACACAAACAAACTAATGCACACACAGGTCCCATATGTGCATTGCTTGTTCAGGTTCCAAACTATGTATCTTTCCATTTTTGCATGTGTGCATTTTCTGTTGGCAGGACATCATGCGTTTGATATTTCAAAGGTGTATATGACCTCAGCAGGTCTGTTTTTCTCATACTTTCGGATACAGTCCTGGTGATAACACAGATTTTGTCCAATATTTCTTTAATGGATCAACACTAAGACGCTTTAAGTAACCCATAAATATCACTGACATATTCACAGTTGCCTGTATATATTGTATAGATTGATAGAGATAAGTAGCCCATTCTCAGTCTTATACTGTATCCATACCCAAAGTATACCAGCCACAGGTGTGAGCTGGCTCACTCTTAAGAGCAACATAAAATTTTTATATGTGAACAGCACTCATCTGGCCACAGCAGCTGATTTACGAATGTTACACTTCTAGTCAGTGACTGCTGAGTCACAATAAAGATGTAAGCTTTATGTTATCTCAGCTCCACACGGACCAGCAAGCTGTCTTTTTTGGCTCCACTTTTAGATTTATACTGCCTGTGCAGAGCATACAGTAATCACACACACACACACACACACACACAAACACATTCACATATACTTACTGTATAAAGACACACACTCACACACACTCACACACAGTCTGGCGAGCGTTGTTAGATTTTACGTTCCGTCACAGGCCTTGGAACTGGGACCCTGCTGACAGGGATTCCACTGCTCTCCTGAGAGTCTGCCAAACCATCTCTTCCTCTCTGCAGCGCACATACGCTCACACACATACATCCCTTCCTGTGTGCATGTATGCACGCTGGCTAAATACATGTACTGAACATATTATGCTTAGCTCACGCATTTGCACGTATAGATACACGTGCACACAGGGCCAGCATTCAGCTGCAACGATGAGACAACATTTAAGCAGACAAACCACATATATTTCTGACATCTATCCACTGTTGCGTAACATACATAAGAGCTGTTACAGCATGTGGTGAACTACTAAATCACTACTTATACGAAAGGACCTATATGGGTCACAGAGTTCCCCATGTTCCAGAAGTGCTGATATGCTTAATTCAATGCACTGTCAAACTTTTTACACACACAGTTATACACAGATATTTAAAAGACTTGCTAAAAGTTAGATGAATACCTGTTTTTATACCCATGAATGCTGTTGTATCCGTACTGGCTGAGGGCCATTATTACATACATTATTTTTACATAAATACATGGTGTTGAAAACTGTTTTTTGAGTTTGCACTGTCAGCCATGCTAGCAGTTCTACGGACAGCAATGCCGATCTCATGTTTGGATGGTTCACCACTGAAGTACAGAAAGAAATATCCTCACATCTATTGGACAGGTTGCCATAAAATCTTGCATGGACAATCATGGTCCTCAGAGGATGAATCAGGTTGACTTTGGTGGATGATCCCCTGACTTTACCTCTAGCAAGACTTGTTCAGAGTTTTGATTTATCCAGTATGATATCTCCTACATGTCTCTAACATGTTTGTCTGCATTTTCATGGTTCCCTGACAATGAATCCTACTGACTCTGGTGGTCCCCTGACTTCCCCTCTGGCACTACCATGAGGTTCACATTTGTGGTAACCCCACCATGAGTCTTGGTCTTGTTTGTCAGTAACCACACAAGTCAGTGCCAGCTATCCTTTACATATTGGACATATGTTTAATATAAATGCACAAATGATCGAAGTATGTATAAGTACAGTAAAGATTTCAGTAAGACATGTTAGAGGTATGGTAATATGGTATAAATGAGTTAAACAATAAACTGTGCATCACAGTACACAATGTACAGTTAACGTTTGCTCTGCATAAAGGGTATGTGAAGGCCTATTCATATTTAATAGGGGTATAAGCTCGGATCATATAGCTCAAATGACTAAAACAGATCATATGTTTGAATTGTCTCCAGAAATGTTCCTGCTTCACAGTGAGCGCAACAGTGGGAAGTACAATTATCAACATCTAACTTCTGTTACAGTTTGGAGGGTTTAGTACATTTGTCAGTGATGTCTGGGCGCTTACTCATTTTCCCATCTAGCCTAGGTACTCACGCCAGTTACTATTAAACCATTGTTTTGACTGTTAAATCTCAGCAAGCCACGTAAAACTGTAATCTTATTTCAAACTGAGCCAAATGGAGTTTTCACCAGAGGACACAGACATCTCTTTCATTCATTCATCGGTTCATCTTTTTGCTAACCCACCATCTACTCTCTATCCATGTGAACCTTAATTTTTGTAAAATTACCTCTGAAACAGAGCCAGTGAGAATTTTACCCAAGAGACTGTTAATGACGTTAGAGTGGGACTGCGAAAGCATCCAACCCAAGGTCACTGTAGGGTTGGACACACACACAGAGGTAGTGATTGGGCTCTTTAGGTCAACTGTACCAAGATATAAAAACAAACAGGCATCATCCACATGTGCTAATGACACCTTCAGCTTGCTCTCACACGTCATATACTGACATGCGTAGATACACTCTCACGTATGTCACTGACACCTTCTCTGTCACAGATGCTGTTGTGATTAGAGACTTTATATCTCAGGGGCTGGGGCCAAGTTTGGATGACCATCATGACTGATAGTTTTTAGTCTGCAGTTAATAATCCTGCACTCTGAGCTAATTGTTAGTCTTGACCTTTGGATCATGTGCTCAGGGGTGTATGAGACGCTATGAAGAGCAAAGCATCCGAACAAGAGGTAATGTCTGAGCTGTGTGTTTTAGCTCAGAATCACTGAATTTTACCAAACTGAGCACAAAGTTGATCTGCGTCGAGAAAAGAGCAAAAACTTTACATCTGAGGATTATGACCTGAGTTGAATTAAAAAGTTTGGTTTTGTATTTTAACCACAAACCTTTAACCAGAGCGAGCGTTTCATCGTCACTAAAGTGCGGATCGTAAATAAACAAACCTTCAAAAAGCAACAAACACAGTGTGGAGTTTACATGTTCTCCATGTGTCTGCAGTGGTTTCCTCCAAGTTCTCATATTTCCCACAGTCCAAACATGTGCAGGTTGGGTGAAATGGATCCTGTAAATTCCCAGTATGTGTGAATGTGTCTGTCACGCCCTGGTCGTGAGGGTATATCAAACGATTTGCAATGACTTCCATCCCTTACACCAAATACCTTTTAACAATATAATCTATAACCCAAACACAATTCACAAATCATTAGGTATAGTTATGGTGAAATATGTCTTCTCCTAAGCAGTGGCTGAGTTCATATAAAGTTGATGCAGGGAGACAGGGTTAGAGAGTTTGTTCTGCACTACCTTATATAGTTGTAAAACATTAGACGCACACACTGTAGTGCGCAAACCAAAGGAGGTCTAAGGTGAAACGCACCCTCAGCTTAACGCAATTAAAAAATGCGTATTTTTTACAGACACACACTCCTCTCTCTTCCCTGGTGTAATAAGCTTTTATATGTGCATTTGTGTGTGTGTGTGTGTGTGTGTGTGTGTGTGTGTCAGGGGTCTTGTAAATGAGCGGCTGACGTTAAGAGCCTTGCCACGTGCCAGAGGAGGCCTGCAACACTGGTTGTGGCCTTCTCATCCACCGATCAAATGAACAAGGCATTATGTCTGAGCCAAGGGGTGTGTGTGCATATTCCTCTCTCTCAGCTCGGCCTTTCTCTCTGCTTCTGCTGCTGTCTCTTGCTTTGTTCTTTCTTGCAGTCTTTCTAGATATCAGTCTTCTTTTCTGTTCAATGTCATCTGCTTTACCCACTTTCCTGTCCTTCCTTTCATTCTCTCTGGCTCTGCCGTCCTCTGCCCCTCTTCACTTCTGTCTTTACAAGTCTTTCTCTTCTTCTCACTGTCTGTTGCTCTCTCCCTCCCTCCATCTGTCTTGTGTGTTTAGGTGTGGTGTGAAAACCTCTTGCCAAGTCACAAACACTGCTGGGCTTTGTGTACTCTTCTTTTGATGACTTTATTGCTTGTTCTGATTTACATGTCTTGCTCGTCTTCACTAAACTTACAAGCGTAACTTACAGGTAATGATATATGATGATGACATATGCAAATAAATATGTACCACAAGGGGGCATCCTACTGACTCAATCACCAGAGAAGCAAACTTTGACCTCCATAATGTCAAAGGGTCAAACTCCTGTCAGTCCTTTTTTCGCTACGCTAAAAAAGCATGTTTTTTATGATGTTTAAAGCAATACAACATTATACCCTTCCTCTGCTAACTGTGCATCTTTATCTTTGTATCTATTTAGCCCCAAAAATGATGTTCTTGTTGTACTTTTTATGGGGAGACACAGAGGGGAAGAAGCACACGTGCAGCATTAGAAAATCTAAAAGGCTCTTGTCTTCTTCTTCCCACGGAGATATAAACAGATGACATCACAGGGTGGTCCGCTCTGCGTTGAGCCGAGCTGAGCCACGCTGAGTGGGTCTCCGCTGGTCTGCCAAACAGATGGCGGTAGCAACATAATGAGGGCTGGAAAGAAACTTCAGGATTCTGAGCAGAAGATTTTGTGCAGCGGGGTTCATGTCGCACACAGTTTAGACACAAAAGCAGGGAATGTTTCTCACTTGTCCCCACATAAAGACACACAGAATAATCCGTCATGGTCTGGGTCCTGAACATCTTTTTCAACCCTTTCTTTACAACACAAAAGAAAGAAAAAAATATCATAATAGTTTCTCCCAGGCATTTAGAGAGCACTTGGACGTTTGGCAGGGGCAGCCAGCTTGTTGGTTAATTAGGTCAAGAAAACTTGTAATGTGCGCCCACCCACACTAAAGGAGAGTTGGAACAATCGGCTTCTCACAACTGTCTGACATTTAGACAGGGATTTTGGGAAGGGGAAGAGGGAAGGAGAGGGGCAATGAGGGAGTAAAAAAAGGAGGAGAAAGTTTACTACTCTCTCTACCTGGGTTTGTTGTAATAAAACAAGGTTATGTGTGCCATAGAGTTTAATGAAAAGCTGCGAATAAGCATTATTTTATATGTTGTATCTTAATAATGCTTAATACGTTTTATTGCTGGTATGGAAGTCAGTGTTTTTCAGGTACACCATGTGAAAAACTACTATATATATGTTAACATAAATGTTTTCTTTTTCATTTACCCTCTCCTAATCATAGGATGGTCATCTGATGTTTGTACAAAGTAAAACAGGAATAAAATTATTCATCCCATTGCATTAGGCATGTAATTGATGCACAAAAGTCCTACAATTTTTGTAGTCCATTGACTGAATGTAACCCTTTTCTCCACATTGTGTCCCCAGATGAGGTGTCAAAGAGTCCTCACCTACCTGCGGATATTTGGGACCACCATGTTTGGCGTGTCCCTCCTGGTGGGCATCTCCACAGCCTACATCATGGGCTACCAGTTCTTCACAACAGCCCGCAATCACCTATCCTTCGGCCTGTACGGTGCCATCTTGGTCGTCCACCTCATCATTCAGAGTCTCTTTGCGCTTTTAGAACACCGAAACATGAGGCGGTCCTTAGAGACGCCAATCAAACTCAACAAATCCTTGGCGTTGTGCATTGCAGCGTATCAAGAGGACCCAAACTACCTGAGGAAATGCCTGGTGTCAGTGAAGAGGCTGACATACCCGGGGATCAAAGTGATCATGGTGATCGACGGGAACGCGGACGACGACTTGTACATGATGGAGATTTTTAAAGAGATCATGGGATGGGACAAGTCGGCCACATACGTGTGGCGGAGTAACTATCACAGCCGAGGGCCAGAGGAGACAGATGAGAGCTACGCTGAGAGCCTTCAGCAGGTCTCCAGGCTGGTGCTGAACAACAAGTGTGTGTGCATCATGCAGAAGTGGGGAGGGAAGAGAGAGGTCATGTATACAGCCTTCAAAGCACTGGGGAGGAGCATGGACTATGTGCAGGTAAGTCACTGACACTAGAAATGGTTGTTAATAAGGGGGTTTAAATAAGGGAAATAAAGGAATGGTGAAAGGATGGAAGGATGGATAGTGGACATGGCTAGATTGAATGCATAAAAACAAAAGAGAGACTAAGGGAAAGGGGGGAACAATTGTGTCAGTGGTGTAAATTATACACCATTACATAACAGATAAAATGGATGATGTACAAACACACACAGGTAAGACAAGGACAGCTGACATCAGTGTGAGCTGAAGATGGGATTGAAAGGGAAGAGAAAGAGAGATGGAGAAAGAGATGGCTGGAGAGGGGAAGGGGGGGCTCTGCCAAACCAAATATGGGGTCCACAAAGAGTCTTTTGTGCTGCTTTTAGCCGGACAGTGGCTGTGTGCATCGTGTTGTGAAGTGTAGCGTGAAGGAGGGCAGCAGTAGCTTATGTCTAAGTGTAATAACAGATCTGTTTCACAGAGCTGAGTGTTACATCATCTACATGAGTGGTATTCAGAGTCAAGACCCAAAACAGTTTTCAAAGAAAGGTCACACTGGTATGCATCTGTTTGCTGGTGAAAAACTTATCAACTAGGTTAGAGTTTAACTTGACTGAGACAGACCTGTTAAGGACACCTAAAGTATTTATTTGGAAAAGCTAGTTCCCAAGGGTGTTTGGCTGGCCAATACAGTGTGTTAATGCCAATACTGTGTGGCACTGTGGTGCGACTGAGAATATAAACAGGAGCTAAAAGCATTAATCACAATGCCAAGCTTGGAAACACACAAGCTAAAGAAGTACTGATTTTTATCCCGTATCCAGAAAAGAAATATGAAACCATGTAACTTAAATTGTTTGGCCAAAACACAAAGTGTAATCATGTCATATTTGGTCTGTAATATTCAGCTGGTGGTATTACTTAAAGACATGAGTAAAACTGAACAGAAACATTATTTCTCTAATAACATTTGGAACCATTCTAATGAGTTTGCATCACAAAAAGGGGACTTGAGGCTTAAACACCCTTTGAAATGATGCTGTCTAACACCTGCAGCTGGATACAGCTTGCCAGAAACCTCCTGTTTAACAGAGATTTCAAAAGAACTTACTGCAGTGCTGCCAGAAATCATGCCAGTACTCTTCAACAAAGGAGGGACAGTGTTGTTTGCGGTTTTACTATCATCAGGCTCAGCCTGTAACAGATGTGTTTTGTTACTGGGGGATTGGGCTCTAGGTTTGTTTTCATCACCTGATTTTGTTAGGGAGGAAAATTACCATTTATAGAAGAAAACAGAGAGAGCTAAGAAAAGGGGTCATCAGAAAGATAGTGGGTAGTAATTTAGTTTTAAGCAGTTAATCTTGGTTGCAGGAGATCATCCACTGGTTACAATGAAGTCAATTCAGGGCAAGTCAGTTTTATTTCTGTAGCCTTTAATTGCAAATTTGCCTCAAGCGGCTTTACAATACAACACATGACACCCTCTATCCTTAGACCCTCAATTTGGTTAAGATAAAAAAACAAGTGGCAATGTCCCGGGCTGAAAAATGAACCAATGCGGGAGTGTCAAAAACTGCAGTTCACTGCATGGCACCTAGAAGCTGTCTCCAAAATGCCGAACTCAAATTTCCAAGTGGGAGTCCACAAACTAATGTGGGATGTCACAGTAGCTACGTCCATGGGCAAAATGACTATGGGAAAAACTTGCCAAGATGTTTGTCTTTTTTAAGTGACAATAAAAGATGACCTTTGGCCCTATAACCCAGGTTAATCAGTGTTTATTTTGTGGCTTTTACTCAGGTGTGTGACTCTGACACTATGTTGGACCCAGCATCATCGGTGGAGATGGTGAAGGTTCTAGAAGAAGACCCTATGGTGGGAGGGGTCGGAGGAGATGTGCAGGTTGGTTACATAACTACGAATATTTTCTCATTCCTTGCATGTGATAAATTTTACAAACTGAATATTTCATATAGATTACATTTTCATGGTTAACCTCCAACTTTTCCTCCAACACTTCTTCCTTAGATCCTAAATAAATATGAGTCATGGATCTCCTTCCTGAGCAGCGTGCGGTACTGGATGGCCTTCAACATTGAGCGGGCTTGCCAGTCTTACTTTGGTTGTGTGCAGTGTATCAGTGGGCCTTTAGGAATGTACCGGAACTCTCTCCTGCACGAGTTCCTTGAGGACTGGTACAATCAGACTTTTATGGGATCCCACTGCAGTTTTGGGGATGACCGTCATCTCACGAACAGAGTTCTAAGCCTTGGGTATGCAACCAAATATACTGCTCGATCAAAGTGCCTCACCGAGACGCCAATTACATACCTGCGGTGGCTCAATCAACAAACTCGATGGAGTAAGTCATATTTTAGAGAATGGCTATACAACTCCATGTGGTTCCACAAACACCATCTATGGATGACTTATGAGGCTGTGATCACAGGCTTCTTCCCGTTTTTCCTCATCGCCACTGCAATCCAACTCTTCTACCAAGGAAGGCTCTGGAATATTCTGTTGTTTCTGCTCATTGTGCAGGCGGTGGCGCTGATCAAGGCCTCGTTTGCCAGCTGCCTCAGAGGTAACATTGTCATGGTGTTTATGTCGTTCTATTCCGTACTGTACATGTCAAGCCTGTTGCCAGCCAAAATGTTTGCAATAGCAACTATCAACAAGTCTGGATGGGGGACCTCTGGGAGGAAAACAATAGTAGTGAACTTCATTGGTCTGATTCCTATATCAGTTTGGTTCACCATTCTCTTCATTGGGATTATCTACACAGTAATCCTACAGACTAGAAAACCCTTTCCTGAATCAGAAAAGATTGTTCTGGTCATAGGAGCAGTCGTCTATGCCAGTTACTGGGTGATACTGTTGACATTGTATACAGTTCTTATAAATAAGTGTGGGAAGAGGAAGAAGGAAACACACTATGACATGGTGCTGGATGTATGACTTACCGTCATCATTTACCACTGAACTCTCTTATGGGTTGTTTTTCACTCACACCATGTTGTTATTATACAAATGTTTTGCAGATGCAGAGCAGCTCTGGAGGCAAAATTGGTTGAGTTCAACCAAAATGGGCAAAGAACCAGGGTTTTTTTTTTCCAAACTTGAATGGCAAAAACATGGCAGTGGCTGCTTTTTTTTTTTCGGTTCATGCATGACCATAGTTATCACAATCTTGGAACATCGGCATGCTAGCTAATTAGCTTAACACATTTTTTGATCTAACATGTTTAGCTAAAGGTCAGATACTGTAAACTAACTAGCTAAACTTCTGATAAGTCAGAATTGCATGGTTGAATATAATGCAGTTGGCAGCAAGAGTGCTAGGCTTTGTAATATTAGCTACCTCTTACCCATGTCACTTCCACTGGGCTCCAGTTTAACATTTGCAACCCAGCCAAAGAAACTGTGGATTTTTATCACAACCCGTTGGGGTTTAACTTGACCAGTAAGCAGGGGCACCGCCAAGGGGGTGGACCAAGGTATTACTCTGTGCACATTAGATAATTAATATAATTAACTGTTAAACAAGAAACCAATGCATATCAGTGTCCTTTTCTTTAACTCTCATACTGACATAGTTTTCAACAAGCCTTTAAACGTCAACAACATAATTTCTGAAATTCAGTTATTGCTTTTGGTTTTGGTGTGCCATGCCAAGATTTTCAGTGGTCCCATCTGGCCACCCCTATGAAATATTTCGCCATTGCCAGTGAGAATATTTTACCTCCAGAGCATCATTGTGTCTCCAAGAAATGTCATTACAGCCTGACTATAAGCAAATCTACATATTGTCCCACCAAGGGAAGCAAAAAAACACAAAACACACCACATAGCTTCAAGTTGAAGTCAAACTAGCACCCTGCCATGCCAGGCTGTTTCCACTGTCAAGGATTACATTACTTAACTCCTAAAGGTCTTGAGAGAGACTGCTGCCATTACAATCTAGTTAGTGTAATTGTAATCTGAAAGTATCTGGATGGTCTCTGGATCTTGTGAAGAGGTGAGGTTAGCCACTTTACCATTAAAACCCTAAAATTAAGAAGTTAAATTGCATCAGTTTAAAGATTTAATGACACAACTTCAAAGTTCTTAGCTCTGAGGGCAAAGCATTGGTTTACCTTTCCGGTGTTTTAAGATCTCTTAGGAAGAGCTATGGTATCAATTTACAAAGAGTGAAAGGGTACAGAAAGGGCTTTAAAATTAAAAAAAAGCTGCTCTCTTTCTTCTGTTGCACTCATGTCATATGGGAAAGATACTTTCTCATAGTCTTCATACATTTATTAATGTATTTATCTATTTCAACAGAGGAACTTTTGTGTAACATTTAACTCAATTCATAATTGCAACTCCTAAAGTTCAATGGCAATGCACAGCTATTTGATGCAGGTTGTGTTTGTCCTTGACATTACAATTCTTGAAATGCAGTTTAAAATGAAACACATCGCTCACTTTGGTGCCTATACTGTATGTTGAATGTGAAAAGGTGAGGCATCCATAGAAGTATCCATTCATGCTATTAAGGGGCTGCAAAATCCATTATGTTTGAATGTCTGGACACTTACAAGTTTTGTTATTCCCATATGACGTGAATGCAGTATTTTTTCTTGACGTTTACAAAGTGAAGAATCTCAAACTGATCACTGATTGGTAGATATAATCTCCTCCGGATCAGGTGACCAGGTGAACATGTGACCAGAAGAGAGATGGTGAATCATTGCTGCTGTGACTGTTTTATTTTTTACAGAAACAATGACTTTTGTTTTTCTTTTTTTTACTATGAATAGTGGGTGTATGTTGCAAAATGGTTTTAACACTATTTTTGTTAATGTATTTCTTTCTACCAAGCTGAATGATAACCACCAAGTAGACACGGTGGACGTGTTCCAGTCCAAAGATTTTGTTATTTTTTTGCCTTCCATATGCCCTTGTTCTCTTCCTTTCTTTCACATACTGTATTGAGAGTAGTGTAGTGACATCCCTCCTATTCCTTACTTCCTGCTTCCCTTATCTGCGAGGGAAGAAGCAAATGTAAGAGGAATACATTAAGCACCAAATGGGAGAAAAGTACTACCTGATAACAGGAATTTGAATAAGGGCACTTGCTGGAAGGGAACAGCATTTTGGAATGAAACGAGTCCAGCGTTTGCTACAGACCAGGAGCAGACATGAGTTTATTAATTATGCACTTTTATGTCTGTCCTGTCGTCCAGCATGATGCTTGACGTAATTAAGATGAAATACCTCAGTGGTTCTCTTTGCATTGTATCAAGGCATAAGGATGCCGTCCAAAGACTGATGCATTCTGAAGGTCTCAAGTAATTTATGATCTGTTTGTGATATTAAATATAAAGGTGTCCTTTTTTATACGCAGTTCCTTATTAAGTCAAAGCTGGATTTCTCTGCCTTGTCGGCCTTTTGCTGTAGCCGTTTACTTCTTGTTACTTTGTATTTCGATGCATTTTATATGTAGACATTTTTATTCTATTTTTGCTTAGCTACCAAAGATTCTTTATTTTCACTCATGTTTTTATAAGAAAAATGGGAAAATGTATTTGTTGTGCTTTCAACTGTTCTGACAATGACTTGTATATCTGACCAAACAATGTGAAATTATGAGCTGGGGGGTTTGTCTGCAATAACAACAATAAAAATGCAATTTGTAGGGATAAGTTATTGATTTCAAGAGAAGTGATGAACCTGTGTTTTTGTACTTTGTACTTAGATAGAAAACCAGCATATTTATGTAAAAATATTCTGTGGTTTATAGGATTCTGTACTTAGCAAGATGTCCTCTGTTATATAAGACCCCTAATGTTCCATATGCCTACACTGCAAAAACAATAAGTACATTTAGAATTTTTTCTAATATATATAACATGTGAACATTATTGCTAGGCTTAAATTTTTTTGCAGTGTTGAAACACTAACCAACGGTATGTTGAGTCCATAATACAACAAACAATAAAGCCAATACAGACTGAAAACTTTAATCGATAACATTTGCACAAAATGTAATTATCTGCAAATGATGTGTTGAAAAAATTTTAAGGTGCCTTACTGAGCAATAACAAAAGAAAAACTGAGGGTCATTTTTATACACTTATGAAGACAGGTTTTATTCCGAGGTTATATGAATGCGACCAACAATGAACCATGAGGTTGTTTTCATGCCAAACTAGTCATGGGCAGTGTTATCGTAAAGCACTTTTGTGTTGTGCCAAATAAAAACAAATATTGTTTCAATTTGCTGGTGTTGGAGTTTTTATCCAGATTTTCATTTATTCATATGATGGATCTTTGGTGTGGGGACATATAATCAATGATTGGTGTTACCAGGGGCCATTGGGTGATTTGAGTCAATGTATCCTCATGCAATTGTTCATATGATATCCTATGAAAATGCACACACAATGGTCCGTATGATATCCTACAAATAAGTGCCCTAATGAATGATGTTACATACTTAATGTTAAGTTACATACTTATTATGGAGGTTATGTTTAGGTGCGTAAAGGAACTATGGTTAGGTTTAGGAAAAGAATCATGGTTAGACATCTTTAGGTTTGGGCACATAAATCACTGGTTTAGGAAAAGAAACATGGTGATGATGTACCTTAAAATGACTCAAAGTTCACTGAAAGCTCACACAGTTCTGAATACCAGTGTCCTTAGGAAAGTCTTGTGTTTTGTGACCCATCCACCTCCCCAACCTGTCTCCTGACAAGCAATGCGTCCTTCCTTACTCCTGTCAGCCTTCCCAAATGCTTGGGTTATACACAAACTACTGGATCATGATTATGTGGGCGATACTTAATATGTATACATTTTGGTGAATTATTTTTCATAAGAACATGTACGAACAGTGCATGAGAACAGCCTGTTTGGGTCTTTCAACTTCAGACACCCTGGTTGCACTGGGTTTGATCAAACCTTGGATTATGTCATAGTAGCACTTAGGCTAGCTCCATTTGATCCAAAACCATCTAGCAGATCTTTCCAATGCCTCAATGGCACTCCATTGAGGCATCGGCAATGATCATCTCCAGGTGACTAAAGCCAGCATAGCACTGGGAGCTTCACCTGTGGTAGCAACACTCCTTCATCAGGTCTTCATACTTGGACCTCTTCCTCCATCTGGTTTTGGAGTTGTCTTATTTGAAAGTTAAAGCAAGAAACTTCTCCATCTCATAAACATAGTAGCACAGTAAGAGCTCATGATGCAGGTGAAGGGTATCACACTGATAAAAACTTATCACAGCACTCAGAAAAAAACTAGCCAGTTTAAGGTAAGTTAACTGGAACAGGTTTTCTTGCAACTAGCATAGAGAAACCCAGATCTATTTTGAAGATGTGTTGAAAATATATTTCTGCAACAGCTTAAACTAAAGCTATTTGTTTACCAAGAAGGTAACAATCAAAGAAATCAACATTTTCCATACACACTTTCATCCAATCACCATCTAAAAGCTAAAACACAAGCTAAAACACTTAATGTGATCTTTTCTTTTCTTCTTTATTGTGATCAGCTTTTGTCAGTTTTGCCAGGACAATTACCTTAAGAGTAATACTTATATACATCTGCCACCTTAAAGGGAAATTTCGGTTTATTTCAACCCGTCTCCTATCGTCCTAAATTTGTTTCAAGTGACTAGTGACATAGAAATAATAGTTAGCATGTTAGCCGTTAGCCTAGATACAGCCGTAGCATCAGACCTGTTAAAACTTAATTGAACGGGCATCCTTTCAAGTGCAAAGTTAGTCCACTATACAAGCTTTTTCTCCACAAAGACCGCCTCATATCGTTAGGATAAATGTCAGAGAACATATAGAAAACGACATGTAAACGTGTTGTCTTACCTTACCGGTGTGCTGCCATGTTTGTTGTTTACCATTTAGCTAAGGCTGCAACCGGTCCCATTCCTTGCAACAGAGGTATTCCTCTTCTGTGGGCACTGGGGTACAGCATTCACAGGTAACGTTACACCACTGATCTCCAGAGCTAAAGCCTTCCAGCAGCCATTCCTCTTCTCTCCTCCTCTATCTGTTGCGCCTCTCTCTCTCTCTCCTCCTCCTCCGTTCTTCAATTTCACAAAGCTCTTCGTCAGTGTATTCTGGCTCAAATAAATAAGGGCAGCCATAAAACTCTGCAAAATCAAATTCCTCCTCCACAAAGTCGAAGTCTGGCAAAAAGTCAGCCATTATTCTATAAATCTTTCATAAAATAAATGAATGAACCTTTCAGGCTACTGTCCCGTTCTGCCTTCCAGCTGCTGCGGTGTGTTCTCGCGAGATTTCAGGCACGGTATGCGATCGCTGCTTGTTCTCGCGATATTCCGGCCGCGCTTTGGGAAGCAGAGGTAAATGGTAAACACACGTAAGGTAAGACAACAACTCTGAAGACCACCTAAATGTGGAATGTTAGTATATAGGCTTTCCACATCGAGAGGCGATGGCCGCCCTTATTTATTTGAGCCAGAATACGCTGACAAAGAGCTTCGTGAAACCGAAGAATGGAGGAGGAGAGAGAGAGGCACAACAGGTAGAGGACAACAGAGGAGGAATGGCTGCTGGAAGGATTTAGCTCTGGAGCTCGGTGGTGTAACGTTACCTGTGAATGCTGTACCCCATTGCCCACAGAAGAGGAATACCTCTGTTGCAAGGAATGGGACCGGTTGCAGCCTTAGCTAAATGGTAAACAACAAACATGGCAGCACACCGGTAAGGTAAGACAACATGTTTACATGTTGTTTTCTATATGTTCTCTGACATTTATCCTAACGATATGAGGCGGTCTTTGTGGAGAAAAAGCTTGTTTAGTGGACTAACTTTGCACTTGAAAGGATGCCCGTTCAATTAAGTTTTAACAGGTCTGATGCTATGGCTGTATCTAGGCTAATGGTTAACATGCTAACTATTATTTCTATGTCACTAGTGACTTGAAACAAATTTAGGACGATAGGAGACGGGTTGAAATAAACCGAAATTTCCCTTTAAACGCAGATTATTCTGTGCAAGAAAACTGACCGTTTAGATGAGCAGAGTACAGTCTTTCCACTGGTGGTCATGTGTGGGAGGCGTAGGATTGGCAAGAGTATGTGTAAATTGTTGGAATAAAAAATGTTAAATTTGAATAATTTGATTTAATTAATTCAACAATTCATTTTGGAGTAAACCTGGCCCATATCATCCACCAAAATCAATAAAAGCCTTACTTGCTAAAGCCATAAAGCTATAAAACAAGCCAGTAACATGACTTTCTAACTTCTCAGTGAGTCAACAAACCAACAGTAAAGTCATAACTCTGATGAAAAGCTTCAGTATAAGAGCTCTGTATTTCTCACCATTTACAATTAAATTATTAAAATATTTGCTGTATAATCTAACTATGTAGAGTTTAATTCAGACAAACAGATGACCTAAAGTGTAAAGTAGTATTTGTACCCAGGGCCGGCTCTTGGTATAAGCCATATAGGCGGTCGCCTAGGGCGCTACACGCTGGTGGGAGCGCAGCTGCAAGCCCTCAGAAAAATAAAATAAAACAGAATAAATAAAATACAATGAACCCTAATCCCGCCTAGGGCACCAAAGTGGTTCTGTTTGTACCATGTGAGTTTTACCATGGCCATTAGTGTAATTTTGCTCTCTTTCATTGGCTTTAATTTGACCTAAGTTTCTTTAAATGGCCATTTTTGTCTGGACAGTAGCCTAGCAGGGGTCATCACTGCTCACACAATGACGCATCACTTCTGTGTATAGGAGACCTTTCCCTGAAATGCTGTTAAGAGACTTGTGGGAATTGGGAGAAATTTGAATGATTACTTCTGGAGAGCTCGAAGTCCAGCACCAACTTTTATGTGAACTGCAATATAATGGATACACCTCTCAGTTTTTAATTTTAAAATGAAACAATATGCTACGATTAGTAAATAAGTAAGTTGTGAGAAAGTGTGCAGTCCAAAGGTGAGTCAACCCATCTGAATTTTGCCAGAATTCCCAGACAGCCATTCCAAGCACGGATTTGGATCTAGGGCCCCTAATAGAAAACTGTATGTGTTTATGTGTGTTACAATAAGTGTGTGCAACCAAAACTACAGGGGGAATACAGATACATAAATTTATGGACATCAAGAAAAATACAGCCCAACATGTGCAAACACACGTAATTTGGGACACAGTGATCACAGTGATTTGGCTGACTGGTGATGGCTTGTTTTAGCTAGAAAATGTGTGTGGTTTGTGTGGTTTGTGTGTATCTAGTAAATAAGTTTACTTCTGCCCTGACAACGGTCCACCCTCTGATACACTAGTGGATAAAGAACCTCACACACACACACACACACACACACACGCATACAGTCACAGTCAGATATTTGGGTTCAGGGAAGTGGATGTGCTAATGCTGCTAAAATTGTTTTCAGAGTCAGACATTAAATCACTATTAGTGATATGAATTACCTTGTGAGAAAAATCTGTCTGTCTCTTTGTTTGTTTTACTGTGTTTCTTCATTCACTGTCAGACTTCCTCTGCTGGCTGTCTTTGCTGGCACCAATAATGGAAACTTTACACGATCAGCGGCCCCTGATAACTTGAGTTTTGAAAATTGCTTTTTGTTACTAAGAATGTACTTTGCAGTACCATTAGTGCTATATATTAGGTGAAATTATCTATCAGAGCATTAAAGGATAAGCCTTGCATTATGCATGAAAGTCCAAAACCAACAATGAATGGATCCAGTGAACAAGTATTGCCTACGTAGCCAAAGCCTGACATGTGTTATTCCTGAACTACTCACTCGAGCACTAAATAGGTTTTAATCCACAGATAAAAATAGTCCCTCTTTTGGAGTAATGAGGGTAAGGGAGAGGGAGAGTAAAAACTACAGTGCCCTGCTGTTTTAGGAAATGACATAGCCTATTTTAAGAATAAATATGGATGAAAAATAAATCTATATATTAGTGACCTGTTCTTAAAAATGTATGTCCTCACATGGTGCCACAGACAGGCTAAGAAACCACACAACTCTGACCTTGGTTAATGACAAACACCTACTGTATCCTTTAATGACCAAAAACATAAAATATACGTTTGCATTCTAAAAATTTTCCAACCATTATTCTCAGAGTGTAATACTTAAGTTGAATATAAGTGAAAGAATTAGATTACAGTCTGTGTGGAGAGTTATAGAATATTGTACGAAAAAAATTATTG